CAATTTATAAAAACATAAATAACGATAAAACTCATGGTCAGAATTTATGATAGTATTCCACCAAGTTCTAGAGCTTATAAAGGAAATGTCTGCCTCAATAGTGTGTCTTGCAGAGCGCGCTTGAAAGATGCCAATGAGGCATTTTGCCTAAGTTCTTTATGCAAGTTATTCCATATGTTGGCCCCTCTATAGGAAAAAGTGCGCTGGCCAGTAGCCGTTCTGTATAGCGGAATCTGCAAAGAGTTCCGCGTACGAGTGTTACGAGTATGTATATTTGATCGCTTGGTAAACTTACTCGTTAAGTATTGAGGCGCAAGACCGTTCTGACATTTAAAGGTCAGAACGGAGTCTCTATAAAATAATTGTTCTTTAACAGGAGGCCAATTTAGCTCACGAAGCAAAGGTGTTACATGGTCAAACTTCCTAGAGTTTTTAACGATCTTACTGGCAGTTAAATAAAATTTTTCTTCAAAGTTTCCAAGGTGTGCAAATCAAACCTATTTAGATATTTCTGAGAGGAGAAGTCTTCTTTCAATTTCGTGCCGGAGACGCCACTGTGGAATTATTTTGAAATGTTAATCGTCTTTTGTGGTGCCACAGCGAGAACTGAAAAAAATTATAGCTTAGGATCTACTGGGCATAGTTCGCTGATTCGAACGGTAAAATACTCTCTTATCTAAGAAGAAATTTTTCCTTTACGTTTGCACGATGCACCGATCACATCTTTTCAGAGATTTCTGCGAGGTAAAGCTTTGTTTTTTCAAACGCCATCCTGAAATAATTGTGAGATGCTTATCATTTTCTGAAGTAATCCGAAACAAACAATAAGTATCATCGCTGAAAGACCGAATATCGGGTAAAACTCGGCAGACTTCGTTGTGGGCGAAGAGGTTGTTCGTATTCTATTGCTACACTCGCTCAACAGGACAACATTAAGGCTTCGCCTCCATCGGGGGCGGTAGCCATAAAAACGGCGGCGAAAGAGAAAAAGGAGCGAGGAGTAAACCCGAGAAACCAGTGGAAGTCAAGCTTTTGCTTGGTCTTATCAACATTTGCGTGCAACCAACGTTTTTTCTTTCTTTCGTTTGTAGGAAACAGCCAAGTCCCTCGGTGACCAAATGCCATGTCGCTCCATGTCCTTTGCGCCCTCGTTACGTCATATTGAAGTTGAGTACAGCGACAAAGTGAATGATGATCATTTGGCAGCAATCGTAGCAGTCTGTAGAGGAACCCTGTTCGTAAAAGACTATTATGGACAGCCAGTTGAGCCCAAATGGATATTTCGATAAAATTAAAGCGCACGACGCAAAAATGGTTTTTATTTCCCGATTTACCGGACACTTTTTTTAACCCACCCATTGTCACCCTGAACAGTTTTAAAATGAATCAATACATATGCAATACCTACCGCTTGTTCTATTTTTTTTTTCCTGTTTTACGTCGGATCTTCTAAGCAGATGTGCAAAATGTATTTCAGAGAGTTACAAAGTGACAAAGCATAATGTGCTAAAATAAATACTCTTTCAAGGGGCTTGATAATGAAGGATTTCCTGGTATGACAGATATCCTGAAATAATTGGTCAATGGTTAAATGTACGGTTCTTCGACAGGTTCTTCCAAAAGTGGAGAAATTAAAGTGTACCTCAAAAGTGTACCTCAAAAGTGTACCTCAAAAAGTGTACCTCAAAAGTGTACCTCGGGAAAAATTTAGGGACAACCCTTCAGGAATACGTTAGAAAATGCAATCCACAGGTATTGTACATGGCGTAGACATCGTGCGCTTTTTCGGTTCTCTCTTCCTTGCTTCGGAGAGACCTCGCAAATACTCTTGCGCGGGTTCCGGGCACGCTTCTCTCGCCTAGGTGCACGGAAAGAAAAGACACCTCAAGCTACTAGAGGTCCATTGAAACAGTGTTAAATTATGTGGCAGAATATGAACATTTGCTTTCAAAAATCTGAAAGGTAGAGATTTTTGTGATTTTTCATCTCATTCTATTTCGTCTTTCGAATTAGGGTAATCATTTTCGTAATCTTTCTGCGAATTTCTAATTTGGACATTTCTGTAAGAACTCCTATTCCAGCTCAGTCACGCACGTCCGTTCACGCCATTATCCTGGATCTACGACCGAAACTCAAACTGAAAGTCATCGGACGTTGAATAATCGAGAGTAACAAACCGGGTGCATGGATCCTGACGAAACAAGCTTTGCCAAAGATCACGACAGCAAAATTTTTCAGGGGTCTTTCCAAGGTCAATATTTCATGGTGCGCTCGCGGGCTCACGGTCACTTCCTCCATTTCCACGAATTCTGCATGGAACAGCTGCAGGGTAATCACGCAAATGGTATTCACACGTGGAGGATGGCACGACAGACAACGCTTCCTGAACACAGCTCAATGGATCCATCCGAAAGATCACTGCGTACAGAAACAACTCCCCAAATTGACTACGCGGTTTCACAGACTGCCAAGATCCACCGAGAGAAACCACGCGAGTCGAGGTCTTCTGCCTGGCTTTTCATCGTGAAATGTCTCTTCGGCGCTTTCTTGTTTGTTTGCGTCTTGGTTTGCCTAATTGCCAGTAAACTTTCTCTTTTGTCAATTGCCTCATATTACCAAGGAAACCATTCGAAAAGCAGTTTTGAAAGGGAAACCTTGTTCATCATGATTGTTCTGCTTCTAATGATACCGGAAGTTTACACGCTTTTGAAGGCTAGTTGGACAAGTCTCTTTTCCAAAACTCACAAGTGGCCGTGCAGGAAAGCTGTTTTTTTGGTAAGCATGTTACAAAAATTTCAGAAGTTAGATATGCCAGGGAGTGTATTAATGTTTCTTTAATCCAATATCGTTCGAAGAAATTGGAAGTCCGAGAGAATCAAATCGAAGTTGTTCTTCGGAATACACTGCGGAAACATTCGTTGGGGGTCAAGTTAAAATCACATGACTCTTTCGATCGGCGATGATATTTCCTCCATTACAACAGACAATTTTCTTGAACTCAAGTACAGCGGAACTTCGATTTAACGAACCTCTATATAACGAGGTCCTCGGTATAACGAACGATACTTCAGTTTCAGCGCGGCTGAAGTTAAAGTGAAAATGTTTGCCACAGAACCTCGATAATAGCGAACCCTCGACACAGCGAACCAAATTCCCCAGCCCCTTGGCAATGGTTAAATCGAGGTTCCACTGTACCAGAATACTCGAAATAATGTTCATCGAAATTGAAATTACGGCGGTCCCGCAGCTGTCGTTACCCCTCTTGCAAAAATAATCGGTCTAGTTGCACTCTTAGTGACTGTGATCGATAGTACGTCGAAATACTTCATCCCTGAAAAGTAACTGCTTTTAAAATTCTATTTAACCCAACAGCCTTCTCTTGTTATTTTGACTTAAAAGGAGAAACAGGAAGATAATGTCCATTCTCTGGTTAAGAAAACTTCATAGATAGTCGTTGATTTAATTAGAAGAAAACAATAAAAGAAAGTAGGTGGTATTGTTTGACATGCACACAATACTGTTTCATCTGCATTAGTAACACCTATGCTTTTTACGATGAACTGCATTCCCTTACTATAGAGCGATTAATCATTTAACTGCATTCTTGTACTTTGTACACTGGCAACCTGTGTACTTTGTACACTGTGGTTACAAATTAGATTTCCTTATGGTAAAATTTTATCATGACTTTGGAAAACAAACACTCTCACTGTTTGTTCAAATATCAAATAGGAACTTTCAAGTCAACAAGTAATCTTATAAAGATAGGGTTTAACACCATCGAATTCTGTGTAACAAGGAGATTCATTCTGTATTTTTGAGATGAGGTCAACAGAGCTACGGGTTTTTCATAAGTTTCACGAAACGCCCATTCTTATAATGGAATATATAATAAAATGACTGCCCATGCATTATTTTTCGTAGATTATCAGGATAACAATGTGTAACTTGATCAGTGTCATAATATCCATCTTACAGTTGTTAAGCCCTCCAATAATCTGAGAGACAGAAGGTCATCATGTGATGAGCTGTGATCCTTTCTTGGACCTGTGCTCTTAATTGCTCGTATTTCCTCAAATGGCACGAGAAAACAACAAAAGCTAATGGTAAACCTGGCAGAGATCCAAACTGAACCTTTTTTAAGTTTTTTTTTTTGTTTTCAAGAAATCTTAGTATGCCCTGAGATCTTGCATTTGTAAACCTTCCTCTAATTATGTTCTTTGTTCATCTTCACAATCTCCTCTGTTTACTCTGTGGGTCAGCTGCTATACATACTGCTCAAACTACTTTATTGGACTCATTACCACCTGTTCCAGCAGTAGCTCATCTACTTCTAAGAAACAACTCAAAACATTTCTTAGGAAAAGCGTTAAGTCTAAAGGTTATAATCCTTTACTTGATGGAAAGCACTTTTAAATGCATGTAGATAGTTATTATAGAACTAAATAAATGTTTTATGATAGTTATCATTATAATTCTTATCATTTTCAAAGTCATCATCTGGCCAACAAGAATTATAAAATTGTTGCTAGAAGTAAAATTTTAATTGCCAGGAAAGAAGGAAAGAGGACACTTTGTGCAAATACTGTGTACTTGCAATTAAGACACCTTAACTTTAACTCTGGACATTATGTACACCATATACATTACATTTTATACTAAGTTCAAATAATATTGCAGCTTGCTACACAACAAAAAAACACAGGTTGCCAAATTTTAGACTCCTGCTCCATATTTAGTCACCAAAATTGCATTTTAAGTGGCTGTCATGACAGAAATATTTGTAAATTAACCCTTAATTCCATCACAAATTTTAAGTTATTTACCCCACCCCTAAATGTGATATTACTCTCAACTGATTTATACATTTTATCACAGGGTTTGTTTTCTTCCCTGCTGGAAGTTTTTGGCCTTTGCTTCTTTGGCATTGTTGTGCTTCTTGATCAAAGCATCCACCCTGGTCTGCGTATAGTTATGATGAATGGAGTGTTTTTTGTTCCAGTACTGTGGCAAGTCTTCAGAAGTCGAGGGTGCCAAGCTCAAGGCTCCTGGGGACAATGTTTTATATTCATTCTTGCACTAATCCTGGAGTTTGCAGGAATTGGAATGCTTACCTTCAAGGCAAGTGGAAGAATTATCAAGAGCAAATTGCATTTATTTTGAAAAGTTAGTATATAATAATGACAGTGACTTTGTCGGCCACCTTGAAATTATTCTTGAACTTGAATTCTGTTTGGATTCCCCCAATTTATGAATAATGAAACATTGATTTTCAACTTGAAGTCAATGTAAATAAGCTGTGGTAGCAAATTTTGAGAAGTTTATGTTTTAAACATTAGCCCATCAGTGGATGGAAGATACTTACTAAAAGAAGTTATCATGGAAGTCTGCTCAACTCCGAGTTGAAAGGACCAGGTTCAAGTTATGGTTGTGTTGTGTTCTTGGACATTAAGACACATTGTATCTTACCACTAAGGACTATGAAAATTATTAGTCAGACAAGTTTATCACATTGGCAGAGAAACTGGATGCATTTCAGTGGGGGAACCTGCTTGGATGAATATCTTGTCCTGGATAATGAAGCAGCTTTGACAGTATACTTTGCCCCGTTTTGAATTTGCACGCTCAGTGCAATATGCATGTTTCTTGTAATTGCTTTTCATTTTCTCTCTTATTGCAGATGTCAAGAGAGTCATCAAACACTCCATTTTGGGGTGTTCCCCTGGCTCTCATAGCTGTATCATTTGCATGGAACCCAGAGATTTTTAAGATTGTGACTGAACCAGTTCAAAACCATCCAAATTCTGGTCTAGATGGGCTATCAACCAGTCAGCCATCGACAAATGTTGAAAATGGTGGGTTGTCTCTTCCTCAAGGTGAAACAGTACTTGGTATGGTCACCCGCTCAAAATCTGCACGTGGGAAGGCAGCAATCATCAGCAGCTTGTGGAAGCTTTTTTTGATTCCCTTTGTGGCAGCTTTGTATTGTTCTATATTTCAAATAGCAGACTTGAAAGGATTACAGGAAGGGTTTGACAATTTCAGTGTTGACAGTAAAGAATTTGTTCCCTTTATGGTGCAGATATGGACAAGCTTTCTTGGGTATATGCTTGGCATCTTGGCTTGTGCAATGTGCATGCAGCTTCTTGCTTTTGCAGTGCCTATGATTCTTGCAACACCTATTTCAGTTGGCCTGACTTTGATCAGTAATGGATGGGCAAAGGATCATATATTTCATTTTGAGCCTGGTGATCCAAAAGATGTTCTGCTCTATGTTATCACTGGATGTTTCCTGCTTGCACAGTTTTTTTCAGTGGGCTACTACGTGCTGAAAGGTCAAGATATTACAATGGCGAAGGAATCAAGCTTGTTTTGGATGCCAACATACAATGGTAAGATATACCAACAGTGCATTTGGGTCAAAACACTAATATTGCAGTGGTGGATGGAGAATATAGATCGTGACCCTTTAATTCCAAAGATCTGATTGTTGATTCTCCAATCTGGCTGTTACACATTTCCTTGTAAAGTAGTTATAAGAATTTGGGGCTAGAACAAGATAATAATATCTACTTGATAAGTTTGAGGACTGTATTTCCTTAAATAAGGCCTTGTGCTCTAAAAAGCACCCTTCCTTAAATGAGTGCATACCCCTAAGGCCATAAAGTCAAACAAGTGCCCCTCTCCAATAGGTACCCTCCCCTCCTTCACTTTCTTAAATAGTAGGTATACAAGGAAAACCTGTTTTTGTTAGCATGTTATTTATAACTTTTTAAGCTTCAACTACAACAGAATCAGTACAGAAAAATAACAAGCACTTCAACGATTAAGCGGCCTCTTCTTACAATAAGGGCTTCATCTTTTAGCTAAAGTGTGCAGATGCTTATTCAAGGAAATATGGTATTCTCAATACATGTTTGGATATTTTAGGGAGGATATACATGTTCATTACTTCTGGCAAAGAAAAGGGTGAATTGATTTTGAAACATTCTTTTATAGGAGTATTCTTGGAGCAACATCTTCTTTTAAATAGAAGGAATGAGATCACAGATGACTATCATGTTGACCTTGCAGAACTGGTGAAGAATTCATGTGTGTACATTTGCACCACCATGTACCACGAAAATGAACAAGAAATGGAACAACTGCTTAATTCACTGCATGACATTGACTGTGCGAGGGAAAAATCAAGGCGGCAAATTGAGTCGCATATATTTTTTGATGGAGCTGTCAAAGGAGATGTTTTGAATAACTATGTTTTGCAGTTAATTTCACTAATTCCAAAGGCACTGAAAGTTTCAATTGAGGTGTGTATGAAGCTGAAAACACCATATGGAATGCAGATGCGTTGGAGACTTCCAGGTGGAATGTTTTTTCACATCCATTTGAAAGATAATTTAAGGGTAAGTGTGTTTTTACCTG